TTTTTTAGAAATGGGAAATAAGTCTTCACACTGATGTGGAGGAACTGGAACATTTGTTCATGGCTGGTGGGAAGGTAACACGGATGTACAAAGTGGCCGCAGCACTCAGCTTTCTTGGTTGAGACAAGGTCTCACTAATGTCTGGCCCAATCTATACTAGATCCATGGTGATCTAAGGCTCTTAATCTCAGCCTCCCACAGAGCTGAGATTACAAACATACACACTGCTCCTGGCTTATGTTTTGCTATCTTGTACACTCACCTTCTTTGTTCCTGACCCACATTCCAGCCCTCTCTGTCCTCAGCCTCTGGGGGTGCTTTTCTGGAACTGAGAGCAGATGGCAGGAGTGGGGGGGACAGAGGACAGGGAGGGATAAGATGGGGGTCAGAGGTCCCTCACATCATCTGAGGATTGACCAGCCCCAGGGAAGGGGATGTCCCTCCAAGGCTGGGGGAGACAGGTTCAAGGTCAGGTTTGGGCAATTCCTTTTCTCCCTCAGAAAGGAGACAATAAGGAACCAGCCTCCTAAACTTCCCAGGAGGCTGTGGAGGGAGAGGGACTGTGGGGAAGGTCTTGATCTTTAGCCTCCAGGAACCTCCAAGCCAGATGACATGGGAGGGTAAACCAACAAAAGTCTGAGGCTCAGACAGGTTGAGCAGCTTAGCCAAGGTCACACAGCCTGTGACTATTTTTTATTTATTTTTTTGTCCGTCATGGTGCCTGAACTCTGGGCCTGGGCACTGTCCCTCTGCTCTTCAGTTCAAGGAGAGCGCTCTACCACTTGAGCCACAGCCCCACTTCTGGCTTTTTCTGCTTATGTGGTGCTGAGGAATTGAACCCAGGGCCTCATGCATGCAAGGCAAGCACTATCACTGAGCCACCTTCCCCAGCTCCCCCCTCCCCCCGTGATTTATTATTACTTTTTTTTTTTTTGCCAGTCCTGGAGCTTCTGGGCCTGGGCACTGAAGTACAAGTGCAAGGCCCCAAGTTCAAACTCCAAGTAGTACCAATAATAATAATAATAACAAATTTTAAGCCAAGCGTCAAAGGCTTACACCTGTCATTCTACCTACTCAGGAGGCTAAGATTTGAGGATCATGGTTTGAAGCTAGCCTGGGCAGGGAAGTCTGAGACTCATCTCCAATTAACCACCAAAAAGCCAGAAGTGGGGCTGTGACTCAAATGGTAGAGCAGGACAGGGATAGTGCCAGGCCCTGAGCTGCTTTTGCTCAAGGCTAGCACTCTACCACTTGAGCTACAGCTCCACTTCTGGCTTTTGCTGTGTATGTGGTACTGAGGAATCAAACCCAGGGCTTCATGCATGCTAGGCAAGCACTGTACCACAGCCATATTCCCAGCCCCATCCTGTGATTTTTATTTTTCAGCAGGAAAATCACAAATATAGGTCAGAGCCCATCACCCAGGCCTGAGTAAAGCATGGCTCCACAGGCAGCAGGGAGAAGATCCTCTGTAGACAGGCCCTGGGATGGGTGGGGGACAGTCCATCAGGGCCACCAGCAAAGGTATGGTGACACACACTGACCCAACTAGAAGTAGCTCTGTGTGGCCTTTCCTTTTTGTGTGTTGCGCCTGGGGCTTGATTTTGTGGCCTGAAAAACAATAAAAATATGTAATGATAATAATAGGAATGAGCCACATCATAGGCACATGAAATACTTAGAACAGGTCCTGATACAACCATGTGTGGTGCTGCACTCTCATGGTCATTTTGGGTATTACACCAAGCTAGTTAGTGCTTGAGGGGGCGCAACTCTAGCATGTGTGCTTCAAGGACAGAAGGCACCAAGGCCTGGGGGTGGAAAAAGTCATTTCTTCTCCATCCTGTCTCCATCCCAGCTGGCATCGGCCCCAGCCCCCATTCCTTCACAACACAGGATGTTAAGTTCCCATTCCAGCATCTGCCACTTCGACCTCCACCCTGCTTTGCCACCCATTACCAGGCCTGACCAAAGGCTGGTGATGCCAAATTAGAGACACACATAAAAGTGGCTGAAACCTGGCACTAGCGCCTCATGCCTGTAATCCTAGCTACTGAGCAGGCTGAGATCTGAGGATCTGGGTTCAAAGTCAGCCAGGGCAAGAAAGTCCAGGTGAGACTATGTCCAGTTAACCTCCAGAAAACCAGAAGGGGAACCGTGGCTCAAAGTGGTAGAGTGAAAGCCTTGAGCAAAAGAGCTCAGGGACAGTACCCAGGCCCTGAGTTCAAGCCCCATGATGGAAAAAGAAAAGAAAAGAACAAAGGAAGAATAAAAGATGGTTGAGACATCTTCCTGTCAGCTTTTACAAAGGCTTGTCCCAGATTCCCTCCCACACACAAACCCTCACCTGCAAAATAGATAAATAAATTAATAAATCCACCCCACCATCTTCCTAAACCAGCAGTTACCTCCGATTCTAGGCCCAGCAGCCTCTAAGGGGGACAGCCCTAGGATGGGAGCCATGCAGGCAGGAGCCGTGGCTTGGCGGGGAACTGGGCTGTGCCTGGGCAGGGACGTTCTTGGGGCCAGAATGGAAACAATGATCACCAAAGCAGTCTCAGCTGTGGCTGAGAACCAATCATTGTACAGACCTCCCACCCCGCCCCCATGCCTTTCTCTACTAAAGTCCATAGTCAGTACCACTAAGGTGGGCAAATGGTTGGTATCTCCCCCAAACTTCACCCCCCCCCCTGCCCACTTAGCAGCAAGGGGGTTCATGACATCACCTACACACACGCACACACGCACACAAGGCCTCTTGATCTGGCTGACCTTTTTTTTCTCTAGGCTAGCACTTGAGCCCCAGCTCCAATTCTGGCTTTTTGCTGGTTAATTGGAGATAAGAGTTTCCAGCTTTGTCTATCCAGGCTGGCATTGAACCTCGATCACAACTATTTCAGTCTCTCTAGTAGTTTAGGACTACAAGTGTGAGCCTCTGGCACCCAGCTATTTTTCTTTTCTGTTTAATCTTCTCAGTCAATGTTCTTTCCCCCAGAATCCTTTGCAGCAGTCCCCCTCTCCAGATAGGGACACCGAGGCTAGGACAGTCAGCCCTGGGTACACAGAGGAAGTCAGCTCCTCTCTGGAGATGTCCAATGGTGCAAGATTTGCACAGAATGACACCTACCCTCCCATGCCTCTCTACCTCAACTCTAGAGGACTTACCAGACTTCACACGTGTTTACTGCCAAGCAAATTATTTTTCAGATCTTTTCTGTTTGCTTGGTTGTTTTGAAATGGTTATGGGATACTGGCTTATGAACTCAGGGCCTGGGCACTGTTCCTTCATTTTTTTTTTCTCTCAAGGCTGGTGCTCTACTACTTGAGCCATAGCTCCACTTTTGGCTTTTAGATGATTAGAGAAAAGAGTCTCATAGACTTTCCTGCCCAGGCTGGCTTGGAACCACAACCCTCACACCTCAGCCTCCTGAGTAGTTAGGATGACAGACATGAGCTTCTGGTACCCAGCTGGCTTCCTACTCTTTTCTGTTTCTCTGGCTCTCACCTCTTCTATGATTCTCCACTCTCTTCCTCTGTGGAATTTCGTCTCTCTCTGCTGTTACCTTGACTCTTCTCATTGGCTTGAACTCTGGGCCTGGGTGCTAGTGCTGTCCCTCAGTTCTTCAAGCTCAAGGCTAGTAGTGCCCTACAACTTGAGCCACAGCACCACTTCCGGTTTTCTGGTGCTTTATTGGAGATTAGAGTCTCACGGACTTTCCGGCCTGGGCTGGCTTTGAACCATGATCCTCAGATCTCAGCCTCCTGAGTAGCTAGGATTAGAGGTGTGAGCCACAGGTGCCTGGCAGCCCTCCCCCTTTCTACCTTTATATTCCCCCTCTGTCTCTCCCTCCTTTCTTCTCTCCCTCCCTCCCTCCTTCCCTCTCTGACTCTGGGGCTTGAACTCAGGGGCTGGCACTCTCACTTGGTTTTTTGATCAGGGCTAGCCTGTACCACTTGACCCACACCTCCAACTGCAGGTAGTTTCTCAGTCTTGTCTGCCCAGGTTAGCTTTAAACCTCAATCCTCAGACTTATGACTAGCTAGGATTACAAGCATACACCACAGGTGCCCAGCCTGGCTTGCCCTCTCTCTCTCTCTCTCTCTCTCTCTCGTGTGTATGTGTGTTTGTGTGTGTGTGTGTACACACACACACTCGCTAGTTCTGGTGCTTGAACTCAGGGCCTCAGCATTGTCCCTGATCTTTTTTGCTCAACACTAGTACTCTACCACTTGAGCTACAACTCCACTTCCAGCTTTTTTTTTTTTTTTTTTGCTTGTCCTAAGTGAGTGCTGTCTCTGTGCTCCTTTTGCTCAAGGGTAGCAGTCTACCACCTGAGCCACAGTGCCGCTTCCGAGTTTTTCTGTGATTTAATTGGAGATAAGTCTCTCAGATGCTGAGCACCAGCAGCTCACGCCTGTGATCCTAGCTACTCAGGAAGCTGAGATCTGAGCATTGTTGTTCAAAGCCAGCCTGGGCAAGAAAGTCCATGAGACTCTTAGCTCCAATAAATGACTCAGAAAAGCTGGAAGTGATACTGTGGTTCAAGTGCTAGAGCACTAGCCTTGAACACAAAGAGGCTCAGGGACAGTGCCTAGGCCCTGAGTTCAAAGCTCCAGGATCAGCAGAAAAAATAAAAAGAGAAAATAAAGTCTCACAGACTTTTCTGCCTCAGACTAGCTTTAAACCACATCCTCAGATCTCAGGCTCCTGAATACCTACAATTACTAGCATGAACCACTGGGGCCTGGCTACTTCCTGCTTTTTTTTTTTTCTTTCTTTCTTTTTTGGTAGTTTAATGGAGATAAGATTTTCACAGATTTTGCTGCTCCAGCTAGCTTCAAACCTCGATCCTCAAATCTGAGCCTCCTGAGCAGCTAGGAGCCACTAGGCCTGGCTCCCAGCTTTCTCCCATACTGGTTCTTCTTGTGGGCACTGCCTCCCTGGCTCCCCCACCCCTCACCCCTGCTCTTCCCCAACAGGAAAAAAAGAAAAAAGAATACACAGCTTCTTAAAGATTTATTGGGCCAGCTCTTAGCTCAGGGCTGTGTGCCCTCCTGCCAGGCCTCATAGTCCCCACAGCAGAAGTGGCTGGTCTGGGACCTCTAAATGCCCCACTCCTTCATTTCTCCCTGAGTACCTGCTGTGGTCAGTCATGATGCCATAGGGCAATTTAGGTGGGCAGAGGGCCTCCTGGTACCAGCTTGCTAAGTGATCTGGGGCATGGATCTTGCCCTATCTGGGCCTCAGTCTCCTAATCCTCCAGGACTCCTCACCCAGAGTCAAAGCCAGGGTCTGCTCCCCATAAAGCCAGCAGAGGGTCCAGGCCCCCCCTCTGAGATTTTCTGCAGCTGCTGCTCCTGAAGGCCGTTGCCTGCAGACTTCTGTCCAGCTCACACCCAGGTAGGTGCCAGGGCTGTGGACCCCAGGGAGCCGGGTGTCTGCATTCCCTAGTGGGAGGGAGCCAACCACAGGCCCGGCACTAGGGTAGAGTCAGGAAGAACTGGGCTTCCCCACTGACGGGTAGAACTTGCGCAGGCTGGAGTCCAGGAGGAAGTCCACTGACCTGTGGGGAAAGTGCAGGTGGTAAGTAGATGGCCAAGAGGGGACAAACAGGAGTCAGGAAGCCAGGACTGACTCCTAGATATATATATAGCCCAAATGGTCTCCAGGGGAGAGATCCTTCTATCAGGCTCTGCCGATCTTGGGAAAGGCACACTCCAACCAAAATAATAGCATCTTCCTTTTCTTTATCCATCTGGGGAAACTGAGGCACAAAGCAGATAAAGGACTCCCTCCTATCCTCAATTCAAGGTCAGTTATATTCCACCCTGGGGAAAGTTTGTTCCGCTCCACAAATGATCTGTTTGCGTTGACACCCATCTCTGGTTCTAAAAGCAAGCCTGACCAAGGCTAACCAATCAGCAAAGGGAAGCTGGCTCAGAGGCCGGTATTCAGTCTGAATGGACCAATGAGCACCTTCCTTGAGATTCCAGTTGGACACTGGGAGCTGAGGAGGGCCGACTCTGTTTTCTGTGAGTATAGCCAATAGAGAGTGGGGGAGGGTAGCAAGAAGGGCCAAAGAATGGGGAGAGCTAGATGCTGAAAGATGGCATTTGGGGGCCTGTATTCAGCCATGTCTGAAGGCAACACAGTCTTGGACTTTGATCTTTCTTTTTCCTTAACATCCTTAGGGTTTATTGTTTTTGCGTTGTGATGGTGGGGTTTGCATCCAGGGCCTTGTGCGTGCGAGGCCCGCACTCTACCACTCAGTTACACTCCCATCACCCACATCACCTTCAACTCCACTACTCTAGGGCACACCTGCTCTTCCCTGACCCTGGTGATTTTGTAACAGGAGACTTCCTTCTGGGAACTCTTCTCCGTCTCATACCCTCAAGACACTTCTCTTCCTTTACCACCGAAGTACCTGCCAGATCATATGCCGAAGAATATAGATCGCCCTCTCCCTCAGGAGCCCTGCCCCGGGTGCCAAGTCTGCCTCTGGGGCTATTTGTTCTGTCAGCTATAGGGCCTAACTCTACCTGTAGAACAGATAATAACCTATGAGGTCCGGAGGGCACCCACCTGTCAATGGGATGGATGATGACAGGGATAGTCAACAGTCCGAGTGTGGTGGTGGTCCATTTGCGAACCGACAGGGGCCAGCGGGTGGCAGTGCCCAGGACGTAAAGAGAGGCAGCACACACCCGGTTGATAGTGAATCCTGGGATGATCACAGAGGCCAAGGCCTGCCACACAAAGGTGTCGACCACAGCCACTGTCACCCTGGCGCTGCGGCCTGCCTCAGGGTTCTGAACCTGGTGGGCACAGAGATGCTCGGTTCAGGCAATCCTGTAGACAGAGAGGCTGGCCAGGGATGGGGAAGTGGACGGAGGAGACAGGAAGGGGGATTTTTACCAAGGCAGTGAACGGGACAGGGGTTGGAAGGGGTAAACACACACTCACCTCTCCTGCCTTCTTGCCTTTGTCGATGGCATCTGCCAACACATAGGAGCTGGACACGCCATAGCTCAGCCACACCACAGCCCTGGGCACCATGGATCGGAAGGCCTCTCCCACTTCATTGGCATAGCCTGGGGTGTGGGGGGGGAATGTATCGCAGAGCTGTCCACAAGGGGGCGCTGGAAGGGGGTGCGTTCAAACCCTAGCCAGAACTAGAGCAGGTGACCTTAGGTAAATAAATGACTTTACCTCTCAGTTTCCGGGGCTGCAGAGGGCGCAGGTGGCGAGGCCCGCTTTGACTCTAGGGCCACTGTGGGAAGCCCGAGTCACCATTACCATGGCTCCTTGGTGAGAGCCAATCCAACCAACTGCTTGGATTTCCTACCCTTGGCTCCAGACGAAAGAGGTAATAGGCAGCCAATATAAATATAGTCTATTATATATAACATATGTAAACGTGCATGCATAGTATATGTAATCTATACATATATGTAATATAAAATATATAAAATGTAGGTATAATATATACATATATGTCTGTATATAGCCTATCAACGGCCAATCTATATATATAGGGAGACATTTAAGGGTGCCAGGCCTTTCTGGATCTTACCTCATTCCACCTTACCGACAGGCCTGCAGGGGCCCCCTTCCTCCCCCCCCAGAGCAGAGCTGATCCCCCGTCCCCCGGTGCTGTGTGACCTTGGGCAAGACCCTAGCACTCTCTGAGCCCAAGAGAGGATTAAAAAAAAAATAAAACTAAGCCGCTCCCCCCTTGGGCTGGTCTTGGGCCCGGGCCCAGGCCGGAGCCCCCCGGCGGCCCCAGCCCGGGGTGCGCGCGCGGTGTGGGGGCCGCCGCGCCCGGGACACCCCCCCCCCCCCCCCCGCGCTCACCCAGGTATCGCACCCACGTGTCCCGGTAGAGGTCGCGCTCGGCGCCCGGAGTCTGCGGCTCCGACATGTCGCTCCCGCCCCTGCCGGGCCCGGGCGAGCGCCGCCGACCCGGCCCCCGCCGTCGCCCCGCGCCGGGGACCCGCGCCGGGGACCCGCCGAAGGTCGGGGGCTGAAGGTCGGGGCCGGCGCCGCCGCCGCAGGGAGCGTCTGCAAACTCCCGCGCGCGCCCCGCGCGCGCGCCGCCCCCCGCGCGCCGCGAGCCCTCTGATTGGCGCCCGGTCCCCCCGGCGGCCGGGTTTGCCACAGGGACCGACCGGGGCTCCCAAAGGCGGCGAGGCGGTTCCCACGCGGCCGGCCTCGGGGCCCCCGAGCCCGGGCCATCGGGGCGGCGGAGGCCCGGCGGGCGCCCGGCGCGGGCTGCTCGCCAGGGTCCGGCGCTTCTTGCTGGGGGGTTTTAACGCGTTCTAGTTTACGGCCATGGTGTGTTGTCATTATAAAGGTGATGCTCGGAGAGCCCGGGTGCGTTTAAACGGTGATCGGTTCTGATCACCGCGATCATTCGCGGCCAGGCCTTCACACGAGGCCCCTCCTCAAACCCTCCCACCCGCCGGGGTCCCGCCACCCGCCGGGGTCCCACCCGCCGGGGTCCCGCCACCCGGGGTCCCACCCGCCGGGGTCCCGCCACCCGGGGTCCCACCCGCCGGGGTCCCGCCACCCGGGGCTCCCACCCGCCGGGGGTCCTGGTTTATCAAGGATGGGAAGGGGGAAGAGGCCCCGCGAAGGCGGAGCCGCTTTCCCGGGTCACCCAGCCGAAGAGCGGGGGACGCTGGGATTCCACCTAGACGGTTCTGGAGGCCGAGGCGAGCTCCGTAAAGGAGGCGGGGTGAATGGCTAGGCCCGGGAGAAGTGGGGTGCCCGGGGGCCTCTGGAGGCTCATCCCAACAGGTGCCATGTTTATCAAGCGCTCCTTCTGGTACTGGATCGGTAAGCACCTCTTTCTGGCTGGACATGGACGGACGGATGGATGGACGGAGAGATGGATGGATGGACGGACGGATGGATGGATAGATGGATGGACGGATGGATGGACGGAGGGATGGATGGATGGACGGAGAGATGGACGGATGGATGGATGGACGGATGGATGGATGGATGGACGGAGAGATGGACGGACGGATGGATGGACGGATGGATGGATGGATGGACGGAGAGATGGATGGATGGACGGAGGGATGGATAGATGGACGGAGGGATGGACGGACGGATGGATGGATGGATGGACGGAGGGATGGATAGATGGACGGAGGGATGGACGGATGGATGGATGGACGGATGGATGGATGGATGGACGGAGGGATGGATAGATGGACGGAGGGATGGACGGACGGATGGATGGATGGATGGACGGAGGGATGGACGGATGGATGGATGGACGGATGGATGGACGGAGGGATGGATAGATGGACGGAGGGATGGACGGATGGATGGATGGACGGATGGATGGATGGATGGACGGAGGGATGGATAGATGGACGGAGGGATGGACGGACGGATGGATGGATGGATGGACGGAGGGATGGACGGATGGATGGATGGACGGATGGATGGACGGAGGGATGGATAGATGGACGGAGGGATGGACGGATGGATGGATGGATGGACGGATGGATGGATGGATGAGGCAAGGACAGACAAGACTCCCGGAAAATAAGCAGTGGGAGAGGCCTTGGGTGGTTACGGTGATTAACAGGGGAGACCCTTCTGCTGGACCCCAAGTAACTCAAGTAAGCAATTAGTGGACCATGGGGGGGGGCGTCAGAGAAAGGGGCAGTGACACTGAAGGCAAGGAGGTCTTGGGTTCAAATCTCCCCTGTACCAGATAAGATGTTCATGTCAGACGCATTATACTCATCAACCGACAGGTTGACCCGAAACCCTTTTGCATAGCTACTTAAGGCTATATATACATATAGACGTACATATAGACGAGAGGCTGGGGAGGGAGACATCGCCCTCCCCTTGTCCCAGTCCCCCAGTCTGCGGAGGAAACGAATGAGGGCCGGCAGACGGCCGAGGGCCGCCTTCCTGGCTGTCTTTCTCAGTCCCTTAGGTCCCCACTACAAACCCAGGAGGGGACAACAGGGATTTTGTCTTAGTCTCCAGTAGATGTTCAATAAAAACGAGCTCTTCTCGCTATAAAAGGCAAGGAACACGAATATCGACGTCCTCTGGACGCTGACATCACATCCAGCCCTAAGGTGGTTATTCAGGGTCCGGCGCGGCCGCCGGTCAGGGACAAGACTGGGGGGAGGGAGAAGGTGGGCGGACCTGGAGTCCTCAACCCCTCTAACACCCGCAGTGCCGCCACGGAAATAGGAGACGGTCCCTAACACCACGTGACCCGCGGCTCCTCCGGCTCCCGCCCTCTTTAAGCCCCCCACGTGCTTGTCAAGACCAGCACGTAGAGACCAGCCGGAGGGGGCGTGGCTTCCGCCCTCACTATGAAAGCGTTCGTGAGCTCTCTTGGTGCCCTGCACAAAAATGGCGGAGAACACGCCCTCGGGCCGGACCAATCAAAGCGCGAGTTGGTGGAAGGGTCCCCGGGGACGGGGTGAGACTCGGTCCCGCGGAGTTTCTGCGCCTGCCTGGCTTTGGCGAGACCCGGGCGGGAAACGCGAACGCCGGTTTGGCTGTGAGCGAGGGGTGGCGAAGAACCCGGCGGCTGACATTGAGCTCCACTCCCAGTGCACCGAACGTCGCTTTATTCATTGGTTAATTTTCCTAACAGATCGTTGTAAACCAAGGCCGGGGTGTCCGGAACGGCCCCCGCCGCGGGTGAGCGGCGCTTCCCGGGCCCTGGGCGCGATCAGCCCGGGCTCCGAGAGAAAGGGAGGTGGGGGCTCCCCCGCGCAGGCCTGGGCTGTGGTTTCCGGGCTGCGGCCGCCCCAGCCCTCGGCTCTGCGAGAGGCAGGTCCAGCCTGTGGCCACCTGCCCGACACCTTCCCGGCCCGGCCGGCTCGGTGCCCCGGCCCGAGGGCATCAGCCGCGCCCGCTATCGCCACCCACGGAGAAGGTGCCGCAGGCCGGTCGGCAAGCGGACACCCAGAGTGGGAAATGCCCCGGGGCCTACTTATCATGGCTGTTCTGGGGTGTTCAGAGGCAGGGTTAGGAAGAGGCTGGTGGCAAAGAGGGGGGCCCCTCCCACCCCTCCTCTAGGACTCACCCCCCAGCCTCCTTGCCCTTCTGTGATCTCTGGAGGTGAGTATGATTGTGCTTTTTGTTGGTGTTTTCTTTTCATTGAACTGGAAGCTCAGAGTCACTAACGATGATTAGTAATTAGAGGCAGCCAGTGAGCCCAGAAATTGCTGAAATGCTTATGGAGACAGGCCTGTCTGCCTTCCAGTGGGTAAGGTCTGCACTGACTTGAGCCACTCCAACCAACTACTTGGGAAAAGCCAAGAGATAATAAACTCAGGCTCTGAGATGTAAAACTTTAAAAAACAAAAGTTTGGAAAAGCTTCTTTTGCCCTCCTAGCCAATCACCTTGCTACCACTATTACCAACTTCCCCGTTCATTTGAAAGCTGGCAAATTCCCTGCTCCTTCCCCTGAAGAGTCGGGTCCCCATTTTTTCCCCACTTTGTCTAACTTTCCCCCTGCAACACCTCACCTTTGTCTTCAATATCACTGGACAGGTGAAGTTGGCCATGCTTACAGGACAGAGAGATCCTATCATGATAGCCAGTTTCTGAGTACTCCTAAGTAAATGTGAGAGGCAAAGAGACCCACTCCAGCTATTTGCCTTCTTCCTAATTCTGGAACAAAAGCTTCCCAGTCCAGCCTGAAGTCTTCCCTTCAGCCCACTTTTTTTTGGTGGGAGCTGCAGGATTGTAAGAAAGTGACTAATAAGAAACCAACAGGGAGATGCTGAGGGGGCCCAAGCCTGCTGTAGAAGGAGGGTGTTATTTGGGGGTGACAGCTCCCAGCTGATTCATCTTCTCTTCTGAAGCTTTGTCTGGAAGCAGGACCTCCACTGTGAAACTGACCTTCTTGGTGTGGATGAAGCTGTAGGTGTTGTCAAACCGTAGGACATCTGAGGGGAGGCAGAAAACCAGACATTCAGGCAATGCCAACAAAGAGCTCTGGGATGGCCATTATGGTTAATGAGCGAAGGGTGTGGTAGGTGATAGGGATGTAGGTGTCCTAGGCAACTGTCCTTGACCTTTTAGGTCACTTAGAAAATTAGTCTAGCTGAGATGACCAAGAGCAAAATGCATGCAACATGTCAAACGCCAGATGAGTGACAAGAGACGATTACAACCACTTGGAAAAGGGTGAGAATCATGGCTTTGTAAACCAGGCTGCTCATGACCTACACCTCCAAAGGGAGACTAGAAACTGGGCACTGAGGCTTATGCCTATAATCCTAGCTCCTCAGAAGACTGATACCTGAGGATCATAGTTCAGAGCCAGACTGGGCAGTTAAGTCTGTGAGCCTCCTCTACCCAATTAACTAGCAAAACGCTGAGAGTAGAGCTGTGCCATAAATGGTAAACTGTTAGCCTTGAGTAAAAAAATACTAAACAAGGGGCTGGGAAGGTGGCTCAGTGGTAAAGCGCTTGCCTGCATACCTGAGGCCCTGGTTCAACTCCTCAGCACCACATAAGCAAAAAGAAAAAAGCCGGAAGTGGCGCTGTGGCTCAAGTGGTAGAGCGCTAGCCTTGAGCTGAAGAGCTGAGGGACAGCGCCCAGGCCCAGAGTTCAGGCCCCATGACCGGATCCAAAAAAAAAAAAGAGTTTGAGGCCCTAAGTTCAAGCCTCAGGATGGCACAAGAAAAGAGAAAGGAATAGAAATAAGTAATATTGGCTGGGCGCCAGTGGCTCCCACCTGTAATTCTAGTTACTCAGAAAGCTGAGATCTGAGGATTGCAGTTTGAAACCAGCTCAGGCAGAAAAATCCATGTGAGACTGTTTTTTTTTTTTAATCGGTCACGAGGCTTGAACTTGGCCTGAACGCTGTCTGTCAGCTCTTCAGCTCAAGGCAAGCCTTCTACCCCTTGAGCCACAGTGCCACTTTGGGTTTTCTGAGTGGTTTATTGGAGATAAGAGTCTCAGAAACTTTCCTGCTTGGGCTGGCTTTGAACCGTGCTCCTCAGATCTCAGCCTCCTGAGTAGCCAGGATTACAGGCGTGAGCCACCAGCACCTGGCCCTGTGAGACTTTAATCTCCAATAAACTACTCAAAATGGGAAGTGGCATTGTAGCTCAAGTGGTAGAATGCTAGCCTTGAGCACAGACACTCCAGCTGGTGGTTCCCGCCTGTAATCCTAGCTACTCAGGAGGCTGAGATCTGAGGATTATGGTTCAAAGCCAGCCCAGGGAGTAAACTCCGTGAGACTCTTATCTCCATAAAAACATCAGATAACCGGAAGTGATGCTGTGGCTCAAGTGGTAGAGCACTAGCCATGAGCTGAAAAGCTCAGGGATAGTGCCTAGGCCCAGAGTTCAAGCCCCATGACTGACAAAAAAAAAAAAGGAAATAATAATGCTGTTGTCATTGTGTCACATTATTGGGCTGGTAATTATTATATGTGATCGCAGTTTTCCTTACCCCCAACCCTGAGTTCAGCATTAGTACTGTTTAATAGATAAAAGTGGGGGGGGGGGGGTCACATGTCACACAAGCAACGGAGCTAGAATTTCCCTCATCCACATTCCTGCTTTTGTTCTGGCCAACTTGGGCCCTCAGAAACCTAGTCCTGTTCAGTTTTTGACAAAAAGTAAACTGTGCCAACTTAATGAACTAGGAATTCTTCCTGGAGAAAGAAAAGTGAACAAGGAGTCATTGCTTAACTGAGCATAATAATAAAAGATAGGGGAAACTCAAATGTGCGAAAGGAAATTGCTTAAACAATTGGTGCTGTGGTCCACATAATAGACTACTGTTCTGATAGAAAAAGAAAAAGCTTATCGGGGCTGGGAAATTGGCTCAGTGGTAGAGCGCTTGCCTTGCATGCCTGAGGCCCTGGGTTCGATTCTCAGCACCACATAAGCAAAAAGCCGGAAGTGGCACTGTGGCTCAAGTGGTAGAGCACTAGCCTTGAGCTGAAGAGCTGAAGGACAGTGCCCAAGCCCAGAGTTCAGACCCCACGACGGGACCCAAAAAAAAAAAAAGAAAAAGAAAAAGCTTATCCAAGACTGGGACTTGACCTCAGGGCTTCACACCTGCTGGGATTGCTTGCTCCCAGCTGGTGCTCTATCATTTGAGCCACGCCTCCAGGCCTGCTTTTTGCTGGTAAAATTGGAGATGGAATCTTACAGACTTTTCTGCCTAGGCCAACTTCAAACCAAGAACCTCCAGCTCTCAGCCTCCTGAGTAGCCAGGCTTAGAGGCGTGAGCGACCAGTGCCAGGCTTTGAACCTCAATCTTTCAGCTTTCAGCCTCCTAAGTAGCTAGGAATACAGGTGTGAGCCCCCAGCTAATAGCTGAAGCTAAAACAAAACATTGCTGCACAAAAAAAGTTTGTTTTTTTAACTTTGCTTTTTGTCTACCCACACTTACAGGTTTTCTTTGATGATATATTGTACAATATACTAAAAGGAAACCTTTTCTCAAATCTTGCTGGGAGTTTGACAGTTTCAAAATTCCTTTCACACAAAAAACAGGCAATTCCTGTGAAGATGTCTGCGTGTGTGTGTGTGCATGACTTTTTTTTTTATTTCTTCATTTATGTGGTACTGAGAAATCGAACCCAGGGCTTCAGCATTCCACTAAGCCACAGGACCTGTTTGTTACAGGAACCTCAGCTGCTTCCACGGGCATGGACAGATTTGGTGGGATAATTAATAGACCAGAGCTGTGTGCAGTGGTTTCTTCTAGGAAGAGAACATGGGCCTACAGTTGGCGGAGAAAGCTTCTGAGCCCTGGCAACAGAACAGACTTGTTTTTCATCTGACCCTGTTTCTTTGAGGAGTTGTTCCTTTTCCATTCATACCCTCCTTTAAGAGAGCTAAGAAGGAAAACCAAAAGTGTTAACCCTGTTCCTTCCCTGTGTTGGTTTTCTTTCACTTTTCCCAGTAAGGACACACACACACACACACACACACACACACACACACACACACACACACACACACACGTGTTCATTCTAACACTTAACTTTCACCCTTTTTGACCTCAGATAAAATGATATACTATCTACTGTTTCTTCTTGGCATGAAGTGAGCAGTAGCCATATATTTCTTCACAATAGCCATTTCTTTGGTTTATGTTTCAGAAATCCCACACCAACCATATTCCTTCCCCCTGCTCTGCTCTGGATGACAGAACCTTGGCCAGAGTTTATCAAGCTGACGAAGCCAGCAGTTCTTCCATCTCCTTAGACCAACTACCAGGATCAAGAGGACTGGCCAGCAAGTTATTCTGTCCCCAGTGGGGCGCTGGTGGCTCACAGCTATAATCCTAGCTACCCAGGAGACTGAGATCTGAGGATCACGGTACAAAGCCAGCCCAGGCAGGAAAGTCTGTGAGACTCTTATCTCCAATTAACCACCAAGAAAACTGGAAGTGGCACTGTGGCGCTAGCCTTGAGCTGAAGAGCTGATGGACAGTGCCCAGGCCCAGAGTTCAACTACCATGACCGACTTAAAAAAAAAAAAAGATGGAGAACTTCTCTGGGAATCCTTGGTCCCCAGATAGAGATCTGTATTCCACTCTCACTTGGGGGAAAGGAAAGCCAAATCTTGTTTCAGACATTTGGAGAGTGGGTGGCAAAGAGAGACTTTCAGAAAGCAGACAACCCCATGACTCATGCCTTGAACTCTTTGGACCCCAGCACTGACCATGAGTTCTGAGTCACTTCCCTGGGGGGGGGGTAGGGAAGAAGGGGGGTGGTTCAGATCCTCAGGACAGCCTTGTGCTTGTCTGGTGACAGAGCCTACACTTTCCATTCTTCATGGAGTAGTCCCTCAGGAAATACTAGATGGCAAGAAAAAAGTACAATCAACACAGACTTTGGTCATTCAGTACACCTCTGGACAAGGACTAACCAGAGAAGCCTGAGGAAGATCTCATGCCCCCTCTCATGGCAGCTGGCCTGCCCAGAGCTTTCATTTCTCTTCTGGGTGTTCATGTTCCATGTGGCCAGAGGTTGCTGCTCTTTGAGAATGCTGTCTCTCACAAATGTGCCTGTTAGCCAGTAGTTGGCTCTCCAGGCTCAGGCCTAACCTGAACACCAGCCACCACTCACTGCCTTTCTACCTGGGAAGGTGTAAGGGATGCAGTGGCCTGCTTCTGCTCCAGGGAATGGGCAGCAAGCAGATCCCAGGCAGGTGGAGGTGACCTTTGTTATACCCAGGACAGATGTCCTGATGGTTTCTAAGTCAGTCCATGGCCAAGAGACTCTAGATCCAAATTCTAGTAGTCTGGTATCACCTGTCTTTTGGTGTCTAGACAAGTTTGTGGGGGTGGGAAATATCCCTTTTCTAGTACATAGCTTTCTTGTCCGTTATAGTCCATTCACAGCCAAGAGCTAGTGGCTCACACCTATAATCCTGTCTACTCAGGAAGCTGAGATCTGAAGATCATGGTTCGAAGCCAGCCAGGGCAGGAAAGTCAATGAGACTTATCTCCAATTAACTACTCAAAAAAACAGTCACCCCCTCCCGCCTAGTTGATCTAGAAGCAGAGCAATGGAGCTGTGGCTCAAGTAGCAGAGTGCTAGTCTTGAGCAAAAGAAGCTCAGGGACAGCACCTAGGCTCCAAGTTCAGCCTCAGGACTGGCATATGTGTGCCCCCCATAAATTCAAATAAAAGAATAACAAAGCATTATGCTTACCACTAGTAATAAATATATCATAGACCTGATATGGTATAATTTGTAATTCCTCTAAGATGTCTGCTATATTAGCCAGGTACCAGTGGCTCAAACCTGTAATCCTAGCTACTCAGATGGCTAAGATCTGAGGATCACAGTTTGAAGCCAGCTTGGGCAGAAAAGTCTGTGAAATTCTCTCTCTCTTTTTCTCTCTCTCTGTCATGGGTCTTGAATTCTGGGCCTGGCCACTATCCCTGAGCTCTTCAGCTCAAGGCAAGCACTCTACCACTTGAGCCACAGCGTCACTTCGTGTTTTCTGGTGGTTAATTGGAGATCAGAGTCTTATAGACTTTCCTGCCCAGGCTGGCTTTGAACCATGATCCTCAGCTCACGGCCTCCTGAATAGCTAGGATTACAGGCTTGAGCCACCAGCACCTGGCTAAAATTCTCTTCATTTAACCAGCAAAAAGCTGAAAGTGGAGCTGTGGCTCAAGTGGTAGTCTGCCAGCCTTGAGCAAAAAGCTAAGGGGAAGTGCCCAGGACCTGAATTTGAGTCCCATTACCAGCATAAAAATGGTGGTAAGGGATTTTAATCAATATTGCAAAGTGGTGCAAGGTTGAACATCCCTTCCAATGTCTGTTTTCAGTTCTGTTCCCAATCTCAAGTCACTCTGAGGTGAGTGTCATTTGGTGGGTTCAAGGCCAAGCTATGGTAGCACACAGATCCCCATAGCTACCCAACCATTCCTGCCTCACCGGCCCTCAGGAGAGAAAGAATCACTAGGAAAGATCTAGCAGGCAGGCTTCAGTGACTCACACCTATAAACCCAGCTATTCAGGAGGCTGAGATCTGAGGGTTGGGGTTCAAAGCCAGCCCAGGCAGAAAAAGTCCATTAAACTCTTAACTCCAAAGAACCAGCAAAAAACAAAAAAACACCAGAATTAGAGCTATGCCCCAATTGGTAGTGTGCTGGCTATGAGGAAAAAGCACACACACACACACACACACACACACACACACACACACACATCTAGCCAGCTGCTAGTGGTTCATACCTTTAACCCACCTACTCAGGAGGCTGAGATCTGAGGCTTGCAGTTCAAAGCCAGCCTGAACAAAACAAATCTGTGAGACTCCTTAGCTCCAGCTAACCAGCTAAAAATCCAGAAGTGGAGCCTCAAGTGGAAAAGCAGAGTGAGAATGAGAGGCCCTGAGTTTAAGTCCACAGGCACCAAAAGAAATTTAAAAAAAACTAGCTGGGGCTGGGAAGGTGGCTCAGTGGTAGAGCGCTTGCCTTGCATGCCAGAGGCCCTGGGTTCGATTCCTCAGCACCACATAAGCAAAAAGAAAAAAGCCGGAAGTGGTGCTGTGGCTCAAGTGGTAGAACGTGCTAGCCTGAGATGAAGAGCTGAGGAAGCGCCCAGGCCCAGAGTTCAGGCCCCACGACTGGACCCAAAAAAACAAAACTAGCCACAGTCACAGACCCAGCTAGATTAGCCCGAGCCCTGCCAGCAGCCATTCTGAAACCCCATGGTGACCGCACTGCCTCACCTGCTGCTGGTATCGTCTCTGCATCCCACCCCACTGCGAACCAGCAGGGCCACCCAGGACAAGTCACGGCCCCTCTCTAATCCCAGGTGCCCTCCTCTCTGCAGTGGGGTGAGTGATGAGCTGATGGATCTCCCCTTCCTATTCAAACCCTTCCAGTGCCCCAAATGACAGAGGAAGTGGCGGGGGGGGGGGGGGGCTCCCAAGACAGAAAGCAGACATGGGCTTAAGCATTGTTGAGATGAAGAAACTTACAGGTGCCAGGATCACTGCAGGTGAGAGTCCCATCCTCAGGCACCATGTGAGCATTGTACCTCTGGCTGGCCAGCACCTCTGTCATCTCCGCAGCCTTCTGCCGCTCGCCCATCTTGGTCTTCAGGAAAATTCCAAAACCAATATCTGCCCCCTCTGACATGAACTGCCACCTGCAGAGGCCATGCACTCATTTAGATTTAGATACAAAATACACACGCCGGGCACAGGTGCCGCACACCTGTAATCCTAGCTACTCAGGAGGCTGAGAGCTGCAGATCGCGGTTCAAAGCCAGCGCCGGCAGAAAAGCCCCCATGAGACTCTTATCTCCCATTAACCACCCCAAAACTAGAAGTGGTGCTATGGCTCAAAGTGGTAGAGCTCAGGGACAGCGCCCAGGCCCTGAATTCAAGTCCTACAACCAACCCTCCCCCCCCCCCCCCCCCAAAAAAAAAGATTTAGATCCACAGTTCCCTCTGGGTGGGTGTATGGCAATGGGGTATTTTTCCCCAGCCCACATCTCAGGGCACCCAGGAATGAAAGGCTTGGGGCTCTGCCAGGACCCTGTCCTACCTGAGCACACAGCCGGGGAAGAGGATTTCATATTCCACCTGGTGAGAGGAGCCCCGGGCTACCTGCACGCTGTGCTCATACTGCTGCTTGACCTGGTCTCGAACATAGTATTTCTTGGGGATGTCGCCTCCATAGTTGATCTAGAAGCAGAGCAGGGGGTGAGCTGGCATGTGGGTGAGAACCAGGCTTTCCTGTCCCCCACCCCCAGCCCTGCGCGCAGCCCCACACCTTGGATTTGCACTTGGGGTCCCCATCGGGGTCTGTCATGGTGCCTCCATACTCCACAGGCAGCTGATCAGGGCTGATGTGTTTCAGTAAAACCTCCTTCCAGTTTGCTGGCACGAAGAGAAAACAAGGGGACACATCAACACTAGGTAAGATTTCATTACCCCAAAAGGTAGGGGATTTTTTTTTTTTTTTAACCATATCTTTGACAGTCTGTGTCAAAGGGGAAGAAAAACCTGTCTCTGCTTCCTCCCCTACCAGGGAGCATGGAGGTGCCTGCCTGTAATCACAGTACCTGGGAGGCAGAGGCAGGAAGATCTAGAGTTCAAGGGCAGCCTGAGGTGCATATCCAATCCTTGTCTTTAAATAAAGGGGCGTTATGAGCATGCAATACATCATAAGAGCAAAAGCCATCCCCCAAAAGATGGCCCTACCCTACAGCAGAAACAAGAAGCTCTGGATTTCTGTTCTGATTGCCTCTGGCCAGCTCAGTAGTCTTAGGAAATCATTCTAATCTAGTTTTTCTTGCCCTGCAGGGTTCTGAAGGGGGTAAAGTATATTTGAGAGCGCTTTGTAAACTGTAAAGTGTCTTACACACTCCGTTGGAAGGCAATCCAAACATTACAAGTAGGAAGCCAAGTGTATATAGCACACCTGTAATCCCAGCAGAAGCAGGGTTGTGAGTTTGAAGCCAGCCTTGGCTCTAAAGTAAAAGTTGCCTCAAAAGAAAAACAAAAAGTATAAGCAGGGAGCTGGGGAAAGAAAGCAGGGAAAGGCAGAGGATTACAGGCAGGAAGGGTCAGGCCACGGGGTCTGGTCCAGTTAGAACTCCACATCTTCCCTCCACGTGGCTGTGTACATGGTATCAGGAAACCATCCCTGGCAGGGTGGGGAACCGTTTTTTTTCCTGCCAAGGGCCATGTGGATATTTATAACACCGCTCGTGGGCCAGGCAAAATTATCAACACAAGCAGATGGCCAGCAATGGGAAGCATGTGTCTGTCCTGTCCTATACCAAAAGATTCTGAGGCTCACAGGCTTCCCACGCCTGCATGTGACTGCATCCGTAGGTACCTACGTTTTACCCCAACCCCAATTTCACTTCAGCTCCTATTGTTTGACTATGTGTGTTGGTACTGAGGTTTGAACTCAGAGCCTAGACACTGTCCTTTAGCTTTTTTACTCAAGGATGGTGCTCTACCACTTGAGCCACAGCTCCACTTCTGGGGTTGTTTTTAGTGGTTCATTGGAGATCAAGAGTCTCCTGGACTTTCTTCTTGTCCAGGCTGGACTTCTAAGCTCGATCCTCAGATCTCAGCTTCCTGGGTAGGTAGGATGACAGGCATGAGCCACTGGTGCCAATCTTGTTTGGCTGCTTTTTATAACCAAGCCCTGTCCCAATTGGCTCTAGTACATCCAGCCATCTAAATTCATAAACATCAGCCAAATACTATTTATTTATATATATTTTGTATATGCCAGTACAGGGGCTTGAACTCAGGGCCTGGAATTCTCTTGTGGCTTTTTCATTCAAAGCTGGCTCTCTACCACTTGAGCCCCACCTCTACTTCTAGCTTTTTACAAGGTAATTGGAAATAATTGTGTCATGGACTTTTCAGCCGGGGCTGGTTTCAGATTGGGATTCCTAGATCTCAGCCTCCTGAGGAGCGAGGGTTACAGTGCCAAACCTAAGTACAGTATTTTGATATTCTTTCATGCCAACTCTATAGGCCATGTAGGCAGCAGCTTCTGGGGACAGCCCAGTGTTTTCTGCATACTGCTGGCTGGAGGCCACGGACACTGTGTAGGGTCTGCCAGGGCTCACCTGTTTGGACCCAAGACAGTGCAACTCCTGGAACACGATGTCACCACTAAGCTCCGGTGACCAGCTCCTCTGTCAGCCATCCCAGCCCAAGGTGGCTGTGATTGAAAGAATCAGAGGTGTGGGTGGGAGAACAGACTGAGCTGCCTACGCTGCCAGGAAGCCAAACTGCCTCAGACACATGGTGGGTGGGAGCAGCTCACGAAAGTGTTAGGCTCTGTGTGTGTGTGTGTGTGTGTGTGTCTGTGTGCGCGCATGCACTGGAGATGTCATCTGGGACTTTACATATGCCAGGCAAGCACTCTACCACTGGGCTATATCTAGGTTATTTGAGATGGAAGCAGAGGGAGTCAGGGAGTCTCACAACATGGCCTTGAACTTGAGATCCTCCTGCTCCTGCTTCCCAAGTGCTGGGATTACAAGTATCCATTACCATGCCCAGCTGCTCTGATTTTTTTTTTGTCAGTCATGGGGCTTGAACTCTGGGCCTGGGCGCTATCCCTGAGCTCTTCAGCTCAAGGCTAGCACTCTACCACTTGAGCCACAGCACCACTTCCAGCTTTTTCTGCTTATGTGGTGCTGAGGAATCAAACCCAGGGTCTCATGCATACAAGGCAAGAACTCTAAAACGGAGCCACCTTCCCAGCCCCTCTGATTTTTTCTTAAAAAATTTCTTCACCTAGCTCAGCTAGAGATCCGGGCTAAGGACTGAGGGGTCCTTGCCATCATCTTACGGAGAGAGGAACAGACAATTAGAGGCAGAATCTAGCCAGGTGCCAGTGCCTCACACCTGTAATCCTAGCTACTCAGGAAGCTGAGATCTGAAGATTGAGGTTTGAAGCTAGCCTGGGCAGGAAAAAAATATAAAGACTCTCCCAATCAACCAGCAAAAAGCCCGAAGTGGCAAGTAGTAGAGCACCAGTCTTGAGCAAAAAAATCTAAGGGAGAGACCGCACCCAGGCCCTGAGTTCAAGCCCCAGCACTAACATACACACACACACACACACACACACACACACACAAGCAACACACAAGCAGAATCTCGCTGCCAGAGCTAGGAGTGGAACCCAGACACCTATATGTTCCTCACAGTGTCCCTCCACCAAACTATGGCCTCACCAACAGCACATCTGGAAAACGGACACTTGCAATATGTATCCTAAAGGTGAAACCTTCAGGATCCCTCACCTCTCCCCAGCCCGCCCACCCGCATGGGTAGCATGAAGCACCTCTGCAAATGGTTTTTCTAGCCCTTTCTCCCACCACACCATGTCCTGCTCCAGCAAAACAGAACAGCCTTCCCCTGGCTGGCTGATTCCTGTGTCTTTGTGGTTTTAGGGTGCACCTGCCCTTGTGACCTGATATTCTCCATGTTCACCGGCTTCTCTGCCAACCTGGCTCATCACCTCTCAGTCTTCGCAGTGGGCTCCTCCAGCTCTGCCTGGTCTTGAACTTGGAAACTCACACTGAGCTACTCACCAGGTTTTAGCCTTGGGGAATTCTCCAGTCTCCAACCTCAGTTTCAGGCTATTATTCCAACACCTGTAAATGTTTACAATCCCTGGGCCTCCTGGGTCACACATGCCATTCTAGATTTCTCTTTCTCCCTCAGTTTCCCCACCCAGTCCATTTCATTCTGCTGCTCCCCAAATAAGTCTGACGTCTAAGAATCTGCACCAGAGCACGATTGTAACAAATCATGACTGTCACACCCCTGCTTGGACTCTAGCAATAGTACACAAGCTGGTATCTACTCCTCAGCATCTTGATTTATTTTTTCAGGACTAGGGATCAAATCTAGGGCTTCAAGCATGCTAGACAAGTGTGCTAATACTTTAAGACACACCTGCAGCCCTACCCTCCACAATCTTGCCAGTACAACAGATCAGATTTGCTTTAAAAAAAAAAAATCTCATCGTGGTTTGTTGTTTTGTTTTCTCCTGCCCAGAATTCTCTGGATCCCAGTGGCCTGGACAGTCCTTGTCCCACTGATCTCAGATTCTGTCACCTGGCTCCAGGGTCCCCATTTAGCCTCATCTCTTTCTGAATCCCCTGCCTCTCATTCCCATGGATTATCACCAAGGAGGGGTTTCCTCGTGTTCCCTCTCTCTGCCAAGCAGCTTCCACTCCACTCCCTGTGGCCAACTCCTATTCATCCCACAACACCCAGCTGAAGAGGCCACTGTCCTCTCCCCAACCCAGGTCAGGTGAGTGCCCATGCTAGGCACTCCTCAGTGTCCCTCTTTCTTCCATTTATCACACCAAGCTGATAAACCTGTTTGTATCTCCCTTCCCTGAGAGCTCAAAGAACTATGTCCTAATCATCTTGGCAGCCTGTCACCTGGCCCAGGACCTGGCATGGACAAAGTGCATACGGGATGGAGACGTTCCTAGTTGCCCTCATCTATAAGCAACCTTGCCCTCCATGGCACCTTCTCCAACCCCTTTTTAGTGTCTATCGGTTTGTATCTTAGCTTTCCCTCCACAGTCCACCTCTCTCCCAGCTCCTTGAGGGCAAGGCCTGGAGTTTCCTTCATCTTTAAACCTACAACAGTGAGCTCCCGTTCTTGCATCTAGAATGTCTGAGAGAAAAAAAAACACAAAACAGTTCTTAGGAAAGCAGATAGGAAGCTGGGCACCAGAGGCTCATGCCTGTAATCCTAGCTACTCAAGAGGCTAAGAACTGGAGAACTGTGGTTCGAAGCCAGCTCAGGCAGAAAAGTCCACAACACTGTCTCCAGTTTCATCAGCAAAAAAGGCAGACTGGAGGTACGGTTCAAGTGGTAGAACACCAGTCATGAGCTAGAAAGCTGCATGAAAATGTAAGGCCATGGTCACAATCCTACAGTTGGATCTAATCTGGGCTACAGAGTAATTGGTAGAGAGTCGAGTTGGGGCCACTCACCTCCAAGGACCATGATCTTCTTCCGGGTGTCCTCACTAAGGAAAGGTTTGATGAGGTTATAGGCCACAGGAAACAGCTTGGGGGCTGGAACACAGACCAAGCCATAGGAGGCTGGGGTCAGTCAGTCACTAACAGTGTCATTCATAGTCCATCTGTCCACAGGGCCCCACCCTATACTGGGCCACGGGTCCCCTGGCTCTGTGGAGAGACCACACAGGCAGCCCAAAAGTCAGGCTCCAGCCAGCACCAGTTTGAGGTTCTTCCCCCATCACACAATAAGCTGGGCCCCTCTTCCTACATCATTGGGCCTGGAGGCTCAAGAGACATCATAAACACTGAACATAAAGACATGTTCAGTCCTTGGGCCCTAGTCAGTGTGTGTGTGTGTGTATGTGTGTGTGTGTGTGTGTGTGTGTGTGTGTGTGTGTGTGTGTGTGCATGCGCGCGCACGCACGCACGTGCCAATACTGAAGCTTGAACTCAGGGCCTCAGACTCTCCTTTAGCTTATTCGATCAAGGCTAACACTCTACCACTGGAGCCATACCTCCACTTCCACCTTTTTTGTATGTGGTTCACTGGAGATACAGGTTTCATAGACTCTCCTGCTTGGGCTGGCTTTGAACTGTGATCCTCAGATCTCAGCCTCCTGAGTAGCTAGGATTACAGGCATGAGCCATCAGCACCTGGCTCCACGTAAGATTTTTTTTTTTTTTTTTTTTTGCCTCTTTTTCCCATTTGGCTTCATTACTGGAAATTCCCGACTTACCTTTAACAACAAACAGACGCTTCAGTGTTTCAGGATAATTTTCCTCAAACATGCTGAGAAACTGTGGAAGCAAAATCACTGTGGTTCCAGCCGGCTCAGGCCTGGGAGCCAGGAAAAAGAGGCCCTGCTTCCTCCCGGCTGCAATCTGCCCCCAGCCCCGCCCTCCTCTCCTAGGGTAGCCTAGCCAAGGGGTCCCCCCTTTGCTGCTCACCTCACCGTAGGCTTCTACTGCAGGTTTCCAGAGATGCTTGAGGCCAAGCCCCTCACAGTCGTAAATCATGGTGATGGTCTCAATTTTCTTCCCCAGCTACAGGAAACAGATAGGTCAAAGTCAGGCTGCCAGAAGCCCAGCCCTTAGTTAGAGGTCAATGCTAATTGGGCCAGGCATCCACAGAGCAACAGAATCAGGTCTGGGTGGAGCCCAGGATTTTCCAATGGAGATAATAATCCCAGGCTGGAACTGGGGCCTAGGCAAGTCATGTCTCCTGTCTAGGTTTCACTGTTCTCATCTGCTAAATGACCGAGTGAATCTAGATTACAACTGAAGTCCCTTCTGTCCCGCGGGCTCGCCTGGTGCCTCCTCTTCTCCTCTGAGTCATGGGGCTCTGTGAACAGCACTCACAACACCCAGGCCTATACCAGTTCTCATTCAGGCAGCACTACAGGTGCATCTAGATCAAACCCCTCCAGCATTCCACTCCTATCCCCGGGGTCTCTGTCCTCAGTAGGCCCTCTGTGAATGTATGTAAATAATGATTTGAAAAGCCCCACATTTAGCTGAGCATGGTGGCCTGTAATCCCAGAGGTGGAGATAGGAGGATTGGAGTTTGAGGGCAACCTAGGCAAAAAGAGAGACTCCATTTCAAAATTAAGCCAGGGAGCTGGGCGCTGGGGGTTCATATCTGTAATCCTAACTCTTAGGAAGCTGAGACCTAAGAATGGCAGTTCAAAGCCAGACTGGGCAGACAAGTCCTTGAGACTCTGAAATTCCACCAATGAAACTGGAAGTGGGGCTATGGCTTGAGAAAAAGAGCTCAGGAATAGTGCCCAGGCCAGGTTCAAGCCCCAGGACCGAAAGAAAAAAAAAAAAAAGATGGACCAGGTTCCAGTGGCTCACGCTTGTAATCCTTGCTACTCAGGAGGCTGAGATCTGAAGATCAAGGTTCAAAGCCAGTGCAGGCAGGAAAGTCTGTGAGACGCTTACCTCCAATGAACCACCAGAAAATCAGAGGTGGTGCTGTGGCTCAAAGGGGTAGAGCACTGCAGGGACAGCACAAGGCCCTGAGTTCAAGCCCCGTGACTGACCAAAGTAATAGTAATAATAATAATAATAAGCTGGGCATGGTGGTACAGATATGTATATGTATTACAGCTACTTAGGAGGCAGAAGCAGAAGGATCATGGTTCAAGGCCAACATGAGCAAAAGTATAAGACCCTAATTTAAAACATAAAGTACAAAAATCAAAAGGACCTGAGGTGTGACTCAAATGGTAGAGGGTCTTGCCTAGGAAGTGTGAGGCCCTGAGTTCAACCCCCAATACCAATAGTACATGTACACACACACACACACACACACACACACACACACACACACAGACACACACACACTGAATCTTTCCAACTGCTGGAAATAAGGAAGAAAAGAGGCCAGAATGACATGTTCCTCAGTCTCTTTCTTAGTAGTCAGTGGTTCTGGTCTCTGCTGAATACAGACTTAGAAAAGCACAAAATCTGAGTGGTATCAAAATGCTTGTCTAAGAATGGGTGGTCCATGATGAAATCTATCCTCCCATTAAAATACAAGGTTGCAAGCCAGGCCCCACTGGCATATGCCTATAATCCTAGCTACTCAGGAGACTGAGATCTGAGGATCACAGCCTGGGCAAGAGTCCCCAAGAAACTCTTCTACTGAAAAATCAGAAATGGTGCCATGGTTCAAATGGCAGAGGACTAGCCTTGAGTACAAACAGGCTAAAGGACAGCAACCAGGCCCTGAGTTCAAGCCCCACAACTAAGAACAACAACAACAACCAAAAGGAGCAGCCAAGCACTGGTGGCTCACGCCTGTAATCCTAGCTATTCAGCTGACTGAGATCTGAGGATCACGGTAGCCCAGTTAGGAAGTCTGTGAAACTCTTATCTCCAATTAAACACCAGAAAACCCAAAGTGGCGCTGTGGCTCAAAGTGGTAGAGCACTAGCCTTGAGCTGAAGAGCTGAAGGACAGCATCCAGGCCCAGACTTCAAGCCCCGTGACCGGCAAAAAAAAAAAAAAAAATGTAGCAATATTTTAAAAATATTGTTTGTGGGCTGGGAAGGTGGCTCAGTGGTAGAGTACTTGCCTTGCATGCATGAGGCCCTGGGATCCATTCCTCAGTACCACATAAGCAGGAGTGGCACTGTGGCTTAGTGGTAGAGTGCTCACCTTGAGCTGAAGAGCTGAGGGACAGCACCCAAGCAAGAGTTCAAGGCCCAAACAAAAAAAATTTAAAAAGAAAAGAGTTCAAGCCCCAAGACTGACCAAAAAAAAAAAAAAAAAAAAAATTGTAGTGTTAGGGTTCAAACTCTTGGCTTCCTGAATGCTAAGCATGTACTTTATCCACTCGACTACATTCCAGCTATAGTCAGTTTTAGTGGGTAGGAGGTGTGATGTGGTATGGTGGAGAGAGAGAGAGAGAGAGAGAGAGAGAGAGAGAGAGAGAGTGTGTGTGCGTGTGTGTTAGGGTTTGGACTTGAGGCTTCATGCTTGTTAGGCTAGTGCTCTACCATTTGAGCCAGTCCTACTTTGTGCTGATTATTTTAAAAACAAACTCTTTTTTTTGTTGTTGTTATTGGTCCTGGGCCTTGAACTCTGGGCTGGAGTACTGTCCTTCGGCTCTTCAGCTCAAGGCTAGTGTTCTACCACTTGATCTACGACACCACTTTCAACTTTTTCTATGTGGTGCTGAGGAATCAAACCCAGGGCCTCATACATGCAAAGCAAGTGCTCTACCACTGAGCCACCTTCCTAGTCCTAAAAACAAACAGACTTTTCTACCTCAACTGGCTTCTAACTACAGATCTCAGCCTCCTGAGTAGCTAGGATTACAAGTGTGAGCCACCAGAGCCTGGCTAATTTGTTTGTTTTGTTTTTGAGACGAGGTCTTGCTCAGTAGCCCAGACTGACCTAACACACTCGCAGTCTTCCTGTCTCTACCTCCCAAGTGCTGGATTACAGCTGTTTTGGTGTTGTTTTGTAATAAAACTAAGTTTACTCAATTTAAAGGACTTGTTTTTATTCTGAGATCAGATCATGCCTCCTTCCTTCCTTCCTTCCTTCCTTCCTTTCTCTCTCTCTCTTTCTTTCTTTTTTTGTTGTTGGTTGTGAGGCCTGAACTCTGGGCCTGGGCGCTCTCCCTCAGCTCTTCAGCTCAAGGCTAGCTCTCTTCCACTTAAGCCACAGAGCCACTTCCGGCTTTTTCTGGTTCCATGGTGCTGAGGAATTGAACCCAGGGCCTCATGCATGCAAGGCAAGTGCTCTACCACTGAGCCATCTTCCCAGCCCCAGATCATGCCATTTCTATAGACTGGGGACTCATTATGACAATAACAGATGGTCATTTTAACTCTTTACTTGGCAAAATAAAATCCGGCAGGCCAGGGTGGAAATGAAGTGATAGAGTGCTTGCCTAACATACATAAAGCTATGGTTCCATGCCCAGCACTGCAAAATGAAAGAAAAACATTATGGCAACAGTATGATCATCTCTAAATCTTTGAGATTTCAGTAAGCTATGAAGCCTAAAAGACTGGCTATATTACACCCCACCTTTTTTTTTTTTTTTGGCAGTACTGGGACTTGAACTCATATCCTCACATTTGCTAGACAGGCACTCTAACCATTGAGCCATGCCTCCAGCCCTCTTTCCTGTAAGTGACTTTTGAGGTAGGGTCTCACTGCCCAGGCATGCATCTTACACAGCTGACGCATCTTGGGCTTCCTGGTAGTTAGGATTACTAGGGTGAGCCCAGTGTTCACTCTTGACCGCGGCAGGCCCCCATTCGTTACCCACCTTGGTGGTCTGGCGGGCACACTCCTGCAGAAGCAGTTCGCACTCCCTTATCTTGGTCCTGAGAAGGTCTTGCTTGGTGGCTGAGAACAGCAGCCCTTTGGCATCCAGAGGCCCAATGATATCATAACAGATCGGGCAGCCATCCAGGTCGTAGCCACATGTGCCCCCAGCCAGATACTGCTGGATCACCTGCACAAAGACCCCAACAACGCCCCTGCTGGGTGGGCCGGGGGTGCCCACGGCTTCCCAGCATCGTAGTGCTTTAGTGTGGATTCCAGTCTCCCTCTTCACATGCCTTTCCCTGGATACCAACAGGTACCCAATCAGAACTCCAGCCCCCCCTCCCCAGTCCAATAGGCTGAGAACAGAGATGGAGGGGGTTGGGGAGGAAAATTCATCCTCACCTCAGGAGGCTGCCAACTCTTGATGTTATCTATATCCTTTTGCTTCCGGAACTCCACATGCTGTAAACACACAATCAGAAACTTTAAAAAAGCAGGAGGTGATGGGCTGGGAATGTGGCTTCGTGGTAAAGTGCTTGCCTAGCATGCACGAAGCCCTGGGTTCGATTCCTCTGTAACACATAAACAGAAAAAGCCAGAAGGGGCACTGTGGCTCAAGTGGTAAAGTGCTAGCCTTGAGCAAGACACTCAAGTGACAGCCCCCAGGCCTTGAGTTCAAGCCCCAAGACTGGGGGGGGGGGGAGTGGGTGGAGGGGAAGCAGGAGGTGAAAGCCTGGTGCATTGACTCAAACCGGTAATCCTAGCTACTCAGGAGACAGATCTGAGGATTGTGATTCTAAGCCAGCCAGGGCAGGAAAGTTAATGAGATTCTTATCTCCACTGAACCAGCAAAAAAGAGGAGGTAGAGCTCTTATTCAAGTGATAGAGTGCTAACCCTTACTGAAAAAGCTCAGGGACAGTGGCCACACACAGACACAGGTGCACACACATATACACACACACGCACACGCACACACACGTGCACAGCAGGAAATGCACATCAGGACATGAAGCAGTTAAGTGACAGCATGAATTGACCACCAGACCACAGATGGTCACTACAAAGCGCTGGGCAGGAATGAGGGAAAGAAAAAAAAAGAGGCCTTGTGCATTTTAAATGTCTCAGCAAGCAGGAGCAGATGATCCACCGCAGCTAGCTGAGAACTAGGAAAATCTTGCCTTTGCAGAGCAAAAGGCCAGAGGTAGGCTCGTGGCTGTGATGGATAGAGGTGGGAGGGGATGGGTAACTGAAGATCAGGAAAGTGAGATTCTGATTGGTGGACGAGAGGTAACAGTAGCATTAAGAGCCAAGTGGATCTCACCTTCCGGAGCATGGCCTCTGACTTCTGCAGGTCAAAGCTTCGTGCTGTAACAAGAAGACACTATCAACATCAGGCAGGCAAACCCAGTGTCCCAAGAGTACGAAGAGTAAACCTGCTTGCTGATCACATGTATGGTATATATGTGTACACCAGAGGGGAGCCAGGAAGACGACACAGAACTAGAGGGAATCAGGGAAAACCAAGTAACAGCGGAACCCATCAGCTGCACTGGACATTGACCAAAATGAACTAAGCAACTCAATGGCAGTGATGGGAGGGAGGGAACAAATAGGAAAGAGGGAACAGCTGATGCTATGCAAAACAAAAGAAATGTACATACTACCCAATGTGGAAGAAATAACTGTATTGCAAAGCTCATAGAACTCATAAATGTTATAGACAATTTGCTCCAGGAAAGTTAGAATGTGTTTGTGACTTTAACTGAGCATCACTATCCTACAATACTGTGAAATTTGAGAAATTATGTAATCACTTAATCACAATTAAAAAAAAGAAAAGAGTAAACCTTGCTTCCAGCCTGGGTATCACCCCAGCTAACTCAGATCACCCCACATCCAGAGGCTAATGGGAGGGTCACAGAGGGCTTGTCACAGCCAATGTGTTTGTGGGCAGAACAGGTCAAGTTTAATGAATTGGGGAGGGGAGCATTGCAACTTCAAGGTCAAAGAATTTTATCTCAGTGGCTGGGCATAGTTGGCTCACGCCTGTAATCCTAGCTACTCGGGAGGCTGAGATTGGTGGATCACACTTCAAAGCCAACAGGGCAGAAAAGTCCTTGAGACTCTTATCTCCAATTAACCAGCCAGAAGCAGAGCTGTGGCCCAAGTGGTAAAGCACCAGCCCAGCGCAACAAAGCTAAGAACATAAGGCCTGAGTTCAAGCCCCAGTGCTGACACAAGAAGAAAAACAATTACACGCTAGTGGATATGATCAGGCAAAGAGTCTTATCTCTTCTGAGGGAAAGTGAACCCTGTACCCCCTTATCAGTTGGCCTTCCCCTCACAAACTTTTATCTACTACGCAAGTCTAAAATCCAGTTCAGAGACATTGACCCAAGTTCAAAGATGAATGTTGCGGGGACAGTGCTGGAATATCCCTCCAGCCAATCCTGTCATGTCCCTAAAGACCCCGACATCCCTTAAAAAGACTACAACAGTTTCCCAAAAAAGTTTTGTGGATCAATGCCATGTACCAGTGGCTCACGCTTGTAATCCTAGCTACTCAGTAGGCTGAGATCTGAGGACTGAGGTTCAAGGCCAGCCTAGGCAGGAAAGTCCATGAGACTCCTCTCTAGTAAACCACCAAAAACACAGAAGTGGAACTGTGGTAAAATGCTAGCCTTGAGTGAAAAAGCCCAGGCCTTGAGTTCAAGTCCTTGTACATACATACACACACACACACACACACACACACACACACACACACACACACACACACACACACACACACACACACACACACACACACACACACAGAGTTTTCTGGACCAATGCTTTATCCTCCTGCCTCCCATTTCCAAGGCCCTGTGCTCCTAGATTATCTGAGCTGCTACAACATACACCCCTTGCTGGGCTTTGAACTCAGGGCCCTCCACTTGCTAAGCAGATGCTCACTACTTAAGCCACGCCTCCAGATCTACACTTCTTTTTTTTTTTCTCTTTTGTGCTTGTCCTGGGGCTTGAACTCAGGACCTGGGTGCTGTCCCTGAGCTTCTTTTGTTCAAGGCTAGCACTCTACTGCTTAAGCCACAGCGCCACTTCTGGCTTTTTCTGAGTAGTTTATCACAGACTTTCCTGCCCTGCTGGCTTCAAACATGATCTTCAGATCTCACCTTCCTAAGTAGCTAGGATTACAGGCGTGAGCCACCAGCGCCCATCTCATGCACTTAATTCTTGTACTGAGGTAAGATCTACTACGGAGACACTGAGGGAAACACAGCTCTCCAGATACAGAAAATTCTGTACTATCACCCTAGATCTTCCCTCCTCCCCTCCTGCCAACCTTGGGCCCTTTAGCTATTCCTTACATTCAGCTCTAAGACCATTCAAATAACTTCCCTTTGGATTCTCTCCAACTTGCCGGGGCCCCCTCTTAAAGTGAGCTATCCAGGGTCGATTATAGCTCCAGGTGCTATTTTCCTTCTTCAATAAACCCCAAGAATTTTCATAGCAACAGTCCACACCCTCAGATCAGTCAACTGAAACCCCCAAATCCTTTACACCTGGGCTGCGGCTAAGCCTCTACCCCTCCTTGGAAAGGTGGGACTTGCCACCCACTCTTATCAAATTTCATCTCTGCCCAATCAGCTTCCTCCCATCCTTTGTAGGGTTTCTGAGCTCTAGATTCTGATGCATTTGCCCATCTGACTGATGAACTGTAGTTCCTGGCTGGATGAGTGTATGGATTTATTTGGCATCTAGATATGTTGACAGTCCTAGAACCCTGACCAGACAGAATGACCTCTGGACTGTCACTGATGGGTGCCTTCATCACCATTTGCTGAGTGTACACAGATCTAGTCCTGGCTCTAACCCTCTAATCCTAGCTCCTCAGGGCACTGAGATGTGACGATTGAGGTTCAAAACCAGCTCAGGCAGAAAGAAAAAGTCCATGAAATTCTATCTCCATTTAACTAGCAAAAAAAACCCAAAAAACAATAAACCCAAAACCTTGAAACTAGAAGCATGTCTCAAGAGGTAGAGCACCAGCCATGAAAGGAAAAAGCTAAGCAAGAACTCAAGGCCCTGAATTCAAGCCTCAGTACTGGCAAAAACAAAACAAATAAACAAAACCCTGGCCAGGGCCACACTACCAGCAGTTTTGAAAAGTGGCCTTGGAACTTTTGTTTTTGTTGTTTTTTGTTTTTTTGGTTTTTTTTTTTTGGTCTAGTTGTGGGGCCTGAACTCTGGGCCTGGGTGCTGTCCCTCAGCTCTTCAGCTCAAGGCTAGTGCTCTACCACTTGAGCCACAGAGCCACTTCTGGCTTTTTTCTTTTTGCTTATGTGGTGCTGAGGAATCGAACCCAAGGCCTCATGCATGCAAGGCAAGCGCTCTACCACTGAGCCACCTTCCCAGCCCAGGCCTTGGAACTTTTAACGATCAGTCTTCTCATACCGTAGTGACAATCTGGAGCAACTTTATTTGTTTGTTGCTTGTTTAGTGGTGCTGGGGATTGAACACAGGGCCTCTTGATTAATGAACAATGAGCTATACTCCCAGTCTTTTTGCTTTTAGTTCATTTTTCTTTTTCTCTTTTTTTTTTTTTTTGGGGGGTGGTGGTCGGTCATGGGGCTTGAACTCAACTCAAGGCCAGAGTTCTAGCACTTGAGCCACAGCACCACTTCCGGTTTTCCGAGCAGTTTTTTGGAGATAAGAGTCTCATGGGCTTTTGTCCGAGTTGGCTTTGAACCTCAATCCTCCGATCTCAGCCTCCAGAGTATCTAGGATTATAGGTGTGAGCCACCAGCACCTGGTTTTTAGTTAGTTTTTCAGATAAGGCTTCAAGCTAACTGTGCCTAGACTGCCCTCCAACTATGATCCTCCTACTCTGCCTCTCAAGGAGATGGGAGCATAGACATGCGCCACCATCCCCGGCATGGTACAATATTTAGAGAACTATAATGTGGCTTTGCATCCAAGGTCTTCTACCTTCTGTATGCAACCTTGGGCAGGATACTGCATGTCTCTGATCAATCATTTAATAAACTAGAAATATTAGAAGGACATAAAGCAACATCTTCTCATGAGAGGAGCTAGACCCCAACAGTGGGAAAGGATACTCTTATCTTCTTAGAGAACCAGGGGTGGGGTGGTGGCAAACGGTGAGGGGGAGGGGCTTATCTGAAGGGAAGCTCTCCAGTAAGCCCTTATCTGCCAAGGTTCAGCATCCATAGTTTGTAAGGCCCTCAGAATTGCTCCTGGCTCTGGACCTGGTACTCCTCAGATCTGCTGAGCCAGGCCTCTCCCAGCTCCTATTCCCCACTCAGGGGTGGCCCGAAGCCTGGCATGGGGCATTGCCAGAGAACCCAGCCCTAACAGTAGCCACCCTGTGCTCTTGTTTGACCACACCCTAGTCCTAAAAATGTGTGGGAGGCTCAGATCTGCCCTTCCTCCTCACTGCTGCCCCCCTCTTCCATGTGTTAGCCATTTCTTTGATTCAGAGCTCAGTCCCAGATCGGGGTCAGCGAGTGGGGATTTGTGTCTCTGCTCAATGTCTGGGGACTGGCAGAAAACTGAACTCCAAGCCCACACCTGACTTAGAGAAAGACATTCTGTGTGTGGGTGGCTAACAAAACATTTCTTTTTAGAATCAAAGGGAGAAAGAGAAAAGGGTTTGCTTTTTGAAAGCAGCAAAAACCCTAATTCAAATTCATAATAGGGTCTGACCAGGCCTGAGCTTCTGCCCAGGAAATGTAAGGCACAAATTAAATACTAAGGAGACATTCTGTTTGAAGAGGTCAGAGCTTGGTTCGGTGGTAGTGCTTGCCTTGCATGCATAAGATGTGGGCTTGATCCTGAGCACCATTCAAGAAGAAAATAAAAGGGTTTTTTGGTGGTTATTGGCTTTTGTGTTTATGTGTGTGTCAGCCCTAGGGCTTGAACTCAGGGCCTAGGTGCTGTCCCTGAGCTTTTTTGCTTGTGGCTAGGGCTCTACTATTTGAGCCATAGTTCCACATCTGTCTTTTTGGTGGTTATCTGGAGCTAAGTCTCACAGGCTTTCCTGCACAAGCTGGTTTGAATCATGATCCTCAGATCTCAGCCTCCTGAGTAGCTAAGACCACAGGCTTGAGCCACTGGCACCTGGTTAAGAAAAGTTTGCCCAGCACTGGTGGCTCATGCCTGTAATTCTAGCTACCCAGGAGGCTGAAATCTGAGGATGGTGGTTTGAAGCCAGCCAAGGCAGGAAAGTCTGTGAGACTCCTATCTCCAATAAACTACTCAGAAAAAGCCAGAAGTGCTCGCTTTGAGCACAAAGAGGCTCAAGGACAGTGCCTAGACTCTGAGTTTAAGCCTCAGGACTGGCAAAAGAAAGAAAGAAAGGAAAGAAAGAAAAAGAGAGAAAGAAAGAAAGAAAGAGGGCTGGGAAGGTGGCTCAGTGGTAGAGCGCTTGCCTTGCATGCCTGAGGCCCTGGGTTCAATTCCTCAGCACCACATAAGCAAAAAGAAAAAAGCCGCAAGTGGCGCTGTGGCTCAAGTGGTAGAGCGCTAGCCTTGAGCTGAAGAGCTGAGGGACAGCGCCCAGGCCCAGAGTTCAGGCCCCACCACCGGACCCAAAAAAAAAAAAAGAAAGAAAGAAGGAAGGGAGGAAAGAAGGAAGGAAGGAAGGGAAGAAGGAAGGAAGGAGGAAGGGAGGGAGGAAGGGAGGGAGGGAGGAAAAGGAAAGAAAAGAAAAGAAAAGGAAGAAAAGAGTTTATATGAATTCTCAGGAATGACTGGAAAGAATGCTGGGCAGGAATCTCAAACCCTAGGCTCTGCCCTGATTCTGCTTTGTGGTGGCAGTGCCTTTGGAGAAGGTCCCTCTCCTCTCTGAGCTTCAGTTTTCTCATCTGGCAAATGAGGATGACCACATTCCTCTTACTTCTCAATGTTTCCCATGAGATTATAGCTGGTGCCAGACCTAGGTACTTGGTGAACAAGGGGGCCCCCTTATGCCAAGGGGCAGGGTGGGTGGGGAAAGGGCATTAGGTGTCTGGGAGACCAGCTGGCAGGACTCTCCTAGATAAAAGAGAGCTATGAAACCATATTTTTCTTCTTCCTAGCAGGAGCTCCATAGCTGCATCATCTTGTAGCTGGCCCTTTAAGAAGGTCTTCCCACCTACCCACCCACCCGCTTCTAGCTCCCATACTTCTGCAAATGCTGGGCCAAAATTTCCTCCAGCCTCCCCCAGGCTACCCTTCCATCCTCTCTGGGTGAGATCACAGCTTTTTTTTTTTTTGGTGAGGCGGGGTGGTGGTAGGAGAATGGGAAAATGACAGGTTCCCTGAGCCCCACGTGGCTCTCCTGGGTGCTCAGGTGCATCTTTAACAGGTCAGCTTTATTATATTTCTGGAAAGCAAAGGAAACTACATGGTTGTTCTCCTGAGATGTGAGACCTAGGTGTCCACAGAGGAATAATTGCATGGTTTATACTTTAAGATCTTGGGATTTGATTCTAGATCCCAACTTAGAACATTGCTGATTTAACTCTCAATGGTGTTTCCTTTGTTATTTCTTTTCCTTTTTCTTTCTTTCTTTTTTTTGGGGGGGTGTGGGGGAAATCAGTCATTGGGCTTGAACTCTGGGCCTGGGCGCTGTCCCTCAGTTCCTCAGCTCAAAGCAAGCACTCTACCACTTGAGCCACAGTGTCACTTAGGGTTTTCTTGCGATTCATTGGAATAAGAGTCTCATGGATTTTCCTGCCCAGGCTGGCTTTGAACTGTGATCCTCAACTCTCAGCCTCCTGAGTAGCTAGGATGACAAGCGTGAGTCACTGGCACCTGGCTTCTTCTTTTTTTTTGTCAATTATGGGGCTTGAACTCAGGGCCTGGGCACTGTCTCTGAGCTTTTTTGCTCAAGGCTAGCACTCTACCACTTTGAGCCACAACTTCACTTCTGGTTTTCAGGTGGTTCACTGGAGATAGGAGTCTCACAGACTTTCCTGCCTGGGCTGGCTTTGTATCGTGATCCTCAGATCTCAGCCTCCTGGGTAGCTAGGATTACAGGCGTGAGCCACCAGTGCCTGCGCCCTCCTTTGTTACTTCTAGGTCTAGTAATATAGTTTGTATAAATTTTAAAAAAGAGAGAGAAAGGTGTCAGAAGGAGAAAGGGAGGGTGACATATGACCTAAATGACAGAGAAAAGAAGAGTCTAACCCTAATACTAGAAAAGGAACATTCATAGCTCAATCATGTCATGTCTTGCCTAGACTAGATATTTGACGTTAGCCTTAGGTACCACTGCCAAGTCAGGGCACACTTGGAACTAGAACTCAGAGTCTGGAGCTCCTGAGTCCCTCACATTTCCATGCACAAGATTCCACTGCTATTAAAATAAAACAGCCAGCCTCTCTCAGGGACCAGAGTCTGTTGTGCTGACCCTGGGGTTTAAACTCCGGGCCTTACACTTTTGCTTGGCTTTTTCTGCTCAAGGCTGGTGTTCACTTCCAGTGTTTTTTGATGGTTAATTGGAGATAAGAGCCTTACAGCTTCATCTGCCTGGGCTGGCTTTGAACACTGATCCTCAGATCTTAGCTGAGTAGCTAAGATGACAGGCGTGAACCACCAGTGCCCAGCCAGATCCTAGTTCGAACCTTAGCTCTGTCTCTGGCTTTGCACAAAGTGGGGCCTAGCTTGGCCTCAGTTTCCCTCAGTTGACCAACAGAGCTGATTTATGTAGGAGATGGAAAGAGGCCAAGGCTGACAGGGAGCAACCAGGGCCTTTAGTCTCCTCTGTGCCTGCAGCTTGCCCACAGTCTTCACCTCTCTGAACCTCAGTGGCCTAGCTATCCAATAGGGTTTGCAGGTTTCTAATTACCAAGTACCTTCTAGACTCAAGCATGGGGAAGGGGGGGTAATTATAGCCCAGGGACAATTTAAGGCCCACAAAATCATTTGGTACACACCAGGAAAATGCACTTAGGCTTCTCCTATGTTTTGGCTGCCCATGACCTATCAGCTTGTATTGATAATTTTGTAGGACCCATAAATAACATTTTTTTTTTTTTTTTTTGGTCGGTCATGGAACCTGAACTCTGGACATGGGCGCTGTCCTTCAGCTCTTCAGCTCAAGGCTAGTGCTCTGCCACTTGAGCCACAGTACCACTTCCAGCCTTTTCTGCTTATGTGGTGCTGAGGAATCGAACCCAGGGCCTCATGCATGCAAGGCAAGCATTACTACCACTGAGCCACCTTCCCAGCCCCATAAATAACATTATAAGTATCCAGTGAGCTGGGAGCTGGAGGTTCACACCTGTAATCCTAGCTACTCAGGAGACTGAGATCTGATGTTCAATGGTCTGAGATCTGAAGATCAAAGACAGCTTGGGCAGAAAAGTCTGTGAGATTTTTATCTCCCATTAATAAGCAAAGCAAACAAACAACAAAGAATAACAACAACAACCAGGAAGTAGAGCTGAGGCTCAAGTGGTAGTGTGCCAACAAAATATCCAAATGATCCTTAGCAGACACAAGGTTCCCACCCTTGCAAGGCTGAATCTCCCACCCCAAATTCTCAGATGGTCAGGGGTGGGTTTTCAGGAGTTGTCAGTCTGTTTTCTGTTGTCCAGAATGAGCCTTTGCCCAATCCAGCGCCTCTCCCTGCACCCTCCCCACCCCAGCCCCAGCTCCCTCCCTTTTTCCTCACCTCGGAGCCAGCGCAGGAGAAAGTAGTCATCTGGGTTGGGCAGGATGGGCAAGACGTCCTGAACATTCTCCCGAAACTGCAAGGAGAGGCAGGTAAGTAAGTGGCTGTCCCCACACCCGGCCTAGCCTCTCTCTGGGGACCTTCCATAGGGGCCTTTATGGACACTTCTTTTACATGGATGGGTGCTGCACACACTAGCGGAACACATGCCAGGTGTGATGTGTGGGGTGCTAGGTCTAACCAGAGGGGTGCTGGGTAGCAGGGGAGGGGAAAGAAGAGACGGGGACACTTTCCTACCTTGCTGTGGGCTTGCCTATTGGCACTGGAGTGGGCAGATGGGCATGTGCCTGGCTAACTGCAGGAATGGGCATTCTAGTTTGTGCCACAGTAAATGTCAGTGTGGGCCCAGCGCACGTGATTTTGGCACTGTGTCTCCAACACTGCTCACTCGGATTCCCTTGGAGCGTCCCCAGTCTTCAGATGAAAAAATATTAACCCAGGGAGGCTCAGTAACACATCCAAAGTCAAACAGCATTACAGAGATGAAAATCTGGGTCTATTTTTCACACTAGAGCACACACTCTCCCCACTACAGTTTTCTACCAAGTCCTTCTGCCTCTCCCTCCTTGGTAGTAGAGGGGAAAAAAATAGTAGAAGGGAATGGTGGTTCCTGTATGACTTTGTGTAAAATGGCATTTTTTAAATTGTGAAAATACTGTACAGAGGGGTTACAATTACATGGGCAAGGTAATGAGTACATTTCTAATCAAGCATTGTAGCCTCCTCCTTTGTTTCCCCTTCCCTTCCCATCTCCTACCCCCCCACCCCCCACCCCTAAAATGACATTTGAGCTGAGCCTGAAAGCAACAGGAGATGAAGGTTTAAAAAAAAGAAGTAGTCTAGGGCTGGGAATGTGGCTCAGTGGTAGAGTGCCTGCTTAGCATGCATGATGCCCTGGGTTCGATTCCTCAGTACCACATACACAGAAAAAGCCACAAGTAGCCCTGTGGCTCGAGTGGTAGAGCACTACTAGCCTGGAGCACAAAGAGGCTCAGGGACAGTGCCCAAGCCCTGATGGGCAAGAAAAAAAAAAAAAAAAAGTCCAGGGGTCAGCAGGAAGCCATGAAAGGAAAAAAGAAGTGGCTTCTCTAAACAAGAAAGGTGGACAGTGACCCCCAGGGACAGGCCACACCCACCTCTAGTCGCTCATTATAGGCCAACAGGCTGCAGTGTGCCCTCCCTAAGCCTGCGGTCCCCACCACTCACCTGTCTCTGGTCACTGACCTCCAGGACAGCCCCAGAGAAGCCAACTGTGCCTCTTGCCTAGGTCAGCAGGGTTCTCTGACTCTCCCCTCCCCCCGCAGCTCCCAGAGCTTCCAGATCGCTGTTCCTCGCTGCTCCTCCAAGCCATAGGCATGAAGTCAGCCAGGACCGACCCTACCCAGCTCCTGTGTCCACTCTAATCGCTACCTAATCCCATCTCGGCCCGAGTGAACTCTGAAGCCTCCCTGCCCAGGCTTGGGGGTGGTTGGGGGAGGGGGGGGGGGGAGATTCCACGGAACCAAATTCTCCCCATTGATCCTGCAGAAGAAACATCAGCCCCCCACTTTCCAGCCAATGGAAAGCTGGCCCTGGCCGTGGAGCCGTCTGGACCCCAGCGATGCTGGCTCAGAGAACTATTCCCCCCCACACCCCGAGATCACCTGTGAGGAGAGGATGGAGGAAGAGACCCCAGCACTTAAACTGTCATCCCCCTCCTCGGCCAAGGTAAAGCCGAGTCCACCCCCCTACCCCTTTCCTCCTGAAAGTACCAGCCAGGCTGGGCTCCGAGTTTCAAGACAGGGGTGGAGGTGAGGCTTGGGATTTGCCCAACCTCACCCCATCCCTGTGAGTCCCAGGAAAGATCTTAAGTGCGCACACAGAAGAGTCGTTTGCCTTCAACACTAGCCGGATGCGACCTCATTTCCTTGCACGAAGAAGGGAACAGAGAAGGACAGGGCTTAGCCCAAGGTCACACAGGCGCGACCACGGTGCCCAGCCAGGGGCTATCCCAGTGTGCTAAGGAGCTGTCCACCGCCCTCTGCCCCGGCCACTGCCCTTTCGAGGGGGAACAACCTCCGGGAAGCGGGGGGAAGCCCTGCGGCCCTGCCGCTGCCCCACGGCCCGGCCGCCAGTCCCCGCCAGCCCCGGGCATCAATGTTGCCTTTGTGCCCCGGGCTGCCCGCGAGGGCTTCCCGGGGGCCGCGGACCGGGGTGGACAAACTTCCCGGGGTCCCGGCAGAGGGCGGACGCTGGGCATCGGTCCCGAGCGGGGCGACGGCCGCGCGCCCTCCGGGGACCCCGTGCCCCGAGGCGGGGCCGCGCCCTGGGGCCCGGCGACGGCTCACCTTGGCCAGGGCCTCCTGCTGTTTGGGACTCAGGTCGCCCACTCGGCCGCTCATCGTGGCTGAGGCTCGGGGCGCGCGGCGGCGGCGGCTGATGCAGCCCAGACGCGTCCTGGTGCAGCACCGCGAAGTCCCGGGCTTCTGCGGAGCGGCGAGGCGCGCGGCCAAGCCCCGCCTCTTAAAGGGTCCCGCGGGGCGGGGCGGGGGCGGGGCTGGCGGCCAAGCCCCGCCTCTCAAAGGGGCCCTCGAGGTGGGGAGGGGGCGGGGCTGGCGGCCAAGCCCCGCCTCTCAAAGGGGCCCTCGAGGTGGGGAGGGGGCGGGGCTGGCGGCCAAGCCCCGCCTCTCAAAGGGGCCCTCGAGGTGGGGAGGGGGCGGGGCTGGCGGCCAAGCCCCGCCTCTCAAAGGGGGCCCTCGAGGTGGGGAGGGGGCGGGGCTGGCGGCCAAGGCCCGCCTCTTAAAGGGGCCTGCGGGGTTGGGCTAGAAAGGAGGGGAAGGACCAGGGCCAGGAGATTGGGGGCGGGGAGGGGGGGGACGGGGGGGAGGGAAGGGGAGTGTCTCTTTGGTTCTGAAACAGAAGACTCCTGAGAGAAGTGAACTAGGGGTGCTCACCCTGACTGCTGCTAGTGGGCAACAGAAGAACACAAGCCTGCAGTTCAAATCTATCCTTCACCTATCACCTATACCCGAGCTTCCTGTGCCCTGCTGGCTTTCTGAACCCCAAGGTGATGGACAGGCTCCATCTCATGACCAGGTCTCTCTCTCTCTCTCTCTCTCTCTCTCTCTCTCTCTCTCTCTCTCTCTCTCTCTCCCCTCCCCCCTCCTCTGCTCTAAGATCAGACCTCATAGTGCAAGATTTCCCCATTTGTCCCCTCTTTTCCTCCCCCAGGACAATGGAGAGGGCTCCTTGGGTCCCAGTGAACACGATGGCCCTCCAAGTCTAGGCTTGTGCCGCCTCTGGGAACTGGAGCTTTGCCTTTCCTCTCCAGAGCCTGCCATCCTCCTAGTCTGCCATCTTTTACCATGCCCAGCTTGCAGCCATCTTGCAGTCTGGCAGCTTCCCCGCCCCTCCCCCCTTCCACACCTGATGGACTAACACGGTGCCAGGCTGAGGGTCAGGAAGCACCCACCAGGGGCTGTCCACCCCAGCAGAGCCTTGCCTTGCCCCTGGTCTCTGGGAGCCACTCCTGAGGTGCTCACAGCTCAGCCCCCCTGCAGCATACCTCCCTCCCCTGGAAATTAGAAGGCTTGGATTTGAATGTCAGTACAGAACTTTCTTGACATCCCATTAGCCAGCCAATTCGACATCCCATTAGCCAGCCAATTCCCTTTTCTGAATTCTAGCTTCTTCCCTGAGCATGAGTGTGGGACTTCAAGTCAATAGGAGTTTCTGTGGTTAGGTCTCTAATCCTACCTACTCAGGAGACTGAGATCTGAAGATCACGGTTCAAAGCCAGCCCAGGCAGGAAAGTCCGTGATACTCATCTCCAATATACCACTAGAAAACGGGATGTGGTGCTTTGGCAGTAGAGCACTCACCTAGAGCTGAAGAGTGCAGGGACAGCGCCCAAGCCCAGAGTTCAAGCCCCTTAACCAACAACAACAACAACAAAAAAAAGCGGACCTAGGCAGGAAAATCAGCGAAACTCTTTATCTCCAATTAACTGACAGTAAAGCAGAAGTAGAACTTTGGCTCAAAGCACAAAAGCTCAGTACTGCACCCAGTTCAAGACAGCCCAGAGTTCAAGACTCACGACCCAAACCAAACCAAAACAAAAACACAAACAAACAAAAACCAGAAGGGGAATTGAGTGGCTCAAGTGGTAGAATGCTAGCCTGGAGCAGAAAAAGCTAAGTAAGAGCACAAAGTCCTGAGTTCAAACCCTAGTAACTGCACAAAAAGGGGAGGAGCTAATTTACATAATACCACTTGATGAGTGCCTACCCTAGCCTGTCCTGTGCTGTTTGCCCTTTGCTGCTTGCCTAGTCAGGTCTCAGCCTCAGGGTAGACACTGAGGAAGCCAGTCAACGCAAAGACCCAATGAAAGCAGGCCTGCTATCAGTCCATCTGTTTCCCAGTGCTGGCTTAGGGCTGGGAGCTGTGGGTTCCTGGATGGTGGCCATGTCTGTCATGCAGGATGGGCCGGCCTCTCAGAACTGCAGCTCAGCAGCTTTTCATGAAGCCCGTGCCCATCTGACCATCCAGACACACCCCAGGCATGGCCTCTGCCCTATACACTGAATTCACTTCTTCCTTTCAGGGCTCTACAGCCTTCGCCTACCTCCAAGATATCACTTCGTCCATGACTGTGTGCCTAGCCGTAGACACTGCTCAGAGATCTGCAAATGAATTAGACACCATCTTGCTCTCCCAAAGATAAGAAATGGGCACTGAATGAAAAACGAGAGAAGAGAGAGAGAGAGAGAGAGAGAGAGAGAGTCCTGAGGAAAGACAGCATATCCAGGAGCTTAGAAAAGGTAGAATTTTGCAGTCAAATAGAAGAATCCTGGGAGGTTTCATGGAGGGAATGGTATTTGATCTGGACCATAAAAAGTGGGTAGGTCGGGTGTGGTAGAGCATGCCTGTAATCCTAGCCACTCAGGAGGCTGAGGTAAGAGAATCTCAAGTTGGAGATTAGGTTAGGCTATATACCAAGACCCTGTCTCAACATAACAATTGTACAGGAAGGGTTTGGAAGAGGAGCTTAGTTATTTTGTGTCAGCTCAGTGACATAAGCTATTTTGGTGACTGGTGGGGACTGTGGCTATAGTCAGAGAGCTGGAGAGAACTGGCCCCTGAAGTTACCTTGCATCTTCCCTGTCAGACTTGTGGGGTCCCAGGGTGCAGAGTTTCACCCCACAAGCCTTACACCCATAGCCCAGCATCCTGAACATAGGGATGGCTCATAAATGCAGGCCAACTACATGAATGCAAGAAATGCTCTTATAAGGCTGGGCTTGGTGACACACACCTATACGCCTAGCGCTCAGGAGGGGGAAGCAAGAGAATTGCAAGTTCAAGGCCAACTACAGAGCAAGATCATGCTCCCCAACAAAAAGAACAAAAAGATGGGGAAGGAGAGAGGAAACCAGATGCTGAGGGTACCCTAGGAGAGCAGCAGACCTCAGTTATCACATGGGGAAACTGAGGCCCAAAGACAGTGTGGCTTGTCAGAGCCTGGCACCAATGAAGACTTAGGCCCACCTTCTAGAACCTGCTCCAGTGTCCTCAAAACTCAAGCCTCCCAGAAGTTAGAAAGCAGACGGCCCATGGTGGCTCACCTTTGAAATTCTAGCTACTCGGGAGGCTGAGATCTGGGGGAACCTCTGTGTTTGTTGCCAGCCCAGGCAGAAAAGTCTTCAAGATTCCATTTCTGAAAGAACCAACCAAAAAAGCACAGTTGGAGGTGTGCCTGAAGTGGTAGCGTGCCCACCAAGCAAGTCACAAGCCTTGACTTCAAACCCAGTACACACACACACACACACACACACACACACACACACACAAGAAAGAAAGAAAAGAAAGTAGCATCCTCTCATCTCTCTTTTTACCCAGCAGCAGATGAAGGTAGCAGCAGGCCCTTTAAACCCTGTTTGAAAAGGGAAAGAGTCAGTTGTCCATGCCTGTAATATATGAGAGCAAGAAAGCTCGCATACAGGCTGAGTGTGGTGACACACATCAGTAAGCCCAGCACTCATGAGGCTGAAGCAGGAAAATTGCAAATTTGATGCTAACTTGCACTACAGAGCAAGATCATATTCCCCCTCAAAAAAACAAAAAGAGAACTCCTAGCCAGGCATCGGTGGCTCATGCCTGTAATCCTAGCTACTGAGGAGGCTAAGATCTGAGAATCACGGCTCAAAGCCAGCCCTGGCAGGAAAGGCTGTGAGACTCCTATCTCCAATAAATCACTAGAAATCCAGAAGTGGTACTGTGGCTCAAGTGGTAGAGCACTTGCCTTGAGCTGCAGAGCTGAGGGACAGCGCCCAGGCCCAGAGTTCAAGTGCCATGATCGATCAAAAAACAGACAAACAACAAAAAAAAAGAACTGCTAAGAAGTTCTAGCTACTTAGGAGCTCTGAGGATAGAAGTTCAAAGCCAGCCCAGGGAAGAAAAGTCCATGAGACTCTTAACTATCTCCAATTAACCAGCAAAAAGCCAGAAATGGAAGTGTAGCTCAAGTGATAGAGCTCCAGCCTTGAGAGAAAAAAAAAGAGTGAGAGCATAAAGCCCTGAGTTCAAGTCCCAGGGCTGGCATATACTGGTCGCTCACTCCTGTAATCCTAGTTACTCAGGAGTCTGAGATCTGAGGATCTCAATTCAAAGCCAGATAAGTCAGGAAAGAGCCTGTGAGACTCTTACAGTGTAATGAATATTTATTTATTTACTTATTTATTTTTGCATGTCTTTTAAAAAAGTGTCACTTGGAAGGGCTTTGCTCTTCCCTGCTGTAGTTCCTGCCTTCGAGATCTACTGCAGGGTATGGTTCCCAGGCAGTCCCAGCAGCCCTACCCACATTAAAGCTCATTGGCCCTGGCTTGGTAGGGTAGGGATGCCTTTCTTACTAGAAGCATGACTGAGATCTTTGTTTAAGATGCTTCCAAAGGGGGCTGGGAAGGTGGCTCAGTGGTAGAGCGCTTGCCTTGCATGCCTGAGGCCCTGGGTTCAATTCCTCAGCACCACATAAACAAAAAGAAAAAAGCCGGAAGTGGCGCTGTGGCTCAAGTGGTAGAGCATTAGCCTTGAGCTGAAGAGCTGAGGAACAGTGCCCAGGCCCAGAGTTCAGGCCCCACCACCGGATCCAAAAAAAAAAAAAAAAAATCAAAGATGCTTCCAGAGGGGGCTGGGGGTTTAGCCCAGTGGAAGGGCGGCCCGCCCCGCATGCGCAAGGCCCTGGGTTCGGTCCTCAGCCCTGGAAAAACAAAGCTACAAGATGCTTCCAGGGACTAGGCATGGAGACACAGGCCTGTAATCCCCAGTTCTTGGGAGATGGAGGAAGGATGATCTTTGGCCAATCCCAACCTGGGAAAAAGCTCAAGACAAACAAACAAAAACCTGAGCTGAGCATAGTGGCTCATACCATCAGCCTAGCTATTCAGAAGGCTGAAATAAAAAGGATGGCAACTTGAGGC